TAATCTTTAAAATCCTCTGAATCAGTGTATGTATTTGAATCCAAAATTTTCTAGCTTTTTTTACACATCCATCAAACATGATAAAATGTCCCTTCTTGTTGTTCATATTTCCAACATAAATTTGAAGTGCCTTTATACATTCTAGACAGTTTCTCTGGTGACATTTACCAATGTTACATCATTACATATTTTCCCATTGTTCCATCTGTATATTATAACCAAAATCTTTAGTCCACTTTGTCATACATGCTCACTTGTTCTTCTTTCACATTTCAATAAAAGTTTATACAATTTTGGCAATTACATGTTCATCATTTGTACACAATTCTATTTCAAACTCAGTCTTATAATGTTCAAAATGTGTTATTTAAATTGGAACAGTTTAAAATGAATTATAGGAATTGGAAAAGGGCAATGTTTAGATAGGGTAAGCATTTCTTGATGGGCAGAGAGGACATTTCTTACTGAAATTGGTGTTTCATTTTTTAAAAAAAATGTTTAACATTTCTCCATTTCAAGTTAAAGAAATTATTATTTTACTTACATAAATTATCTCAGAGAAGTAAAGAGCATATTGGCAGAGTTTACCCATAATAGAAAGTTATAGATTGCTTATGGTTTAACATGTTGTGTGAAACTGCTCCAAGGAAGTAATCTTTTTGTTGTTGTTGTTGCACAATGGTAATTTGATTTAAAAATCTTAATTTGTTATAATCATGGCATGATTATAGAACCTAGGACCTGAGCCTAGAACCTGACATGTCCTGATTTGTTTATCTTTTGAGTGATGGTAGAATGGGGAGTATCCGGAAGTTACCATATAAGTCGTGATTACTTTGCTTGTCTGCAAGACTGATTCTGGTTTATATAACACATTATGGCTAAAGCAAATCTTAGGATAACATTATGAATGACCTCAGCTAAAGATATTCTGAGAGTGGAGTTGCATAATGTCACATCTTCATAATGTCTGGGCTGCCCAGTTTTTATATATCCATAAGAGAGTTCTCAGGTACTTCAGAAAATTCCAAAGGAAGATCTTTGTATTAGATTATATTAGATTTCTTTTAAATTTGAAATCCGTTTCAAATATGTGATTTTGTCTTCTGAAAACAAAGATAGAAAATGGTGGTAGAAAACATATCAGTACTAAAATAAAATATGTACCTTTATTGTAGGCCATTTGATTATATAAAAGAAATTTTAAGTAAGTTGTTAGCAATACTTTGCTTGTTTAGCATTATTATGCTATAGAATCTAACCATGAAACATTTAATAACAACAAAGCCTATAAAAGCAGTTAGTCTAGAGATCTTTGGGAACCAAATTATGGTAGCCATCGCCCACCACATTTCTTTTCTGCCTCTTCCCATCTCCACTACTTGTTCTTGTTTCATGTGGATGTGTACAATCCTAGAAATTGAATTTGTATCCAGAAGAAAGCAAGACCAGTTTTTTTAATTATTATTCTGCCTGCTGCAATTGTGTTATTGATGTGCTTCCTAAGATATTGAAAGAACAGGGTTTTCCCCCCCTTTTCTTTAAAAAAAGCCCCTCTTTTCACAGCTTTAGAAACCCTTGATGAATGCTCAGAACAAGCTTTTCAGAATACTCATATTGACCTTGTGTTTCTGGCAATGAGAAATAGCCCCAGTGGGCATTTAGTACTTTGGCTAAGGGCACAGAAATGAGTGACTGTTTATGTGGTATTTGCACCTTTCTATTGTTGAGCTAGACATTCTTTCAGGCCCTTTATATCAAAAGGGTGGAAAGTGGGGTGGGAACAGGAAGTCTGGTTTTGCATAAGAATATGTGGCTTTTTGGTTCACTTTTATGGATTATTTCTTTCCCAAGCTCTGCATCTTTTGTGGTTCTTTGCCTTATGCCAACATCCATGTGCTTTGATTCCCTGTCTTATTAATTAACTCACTGGTGGCCAAGGACTTTAAATTTATTACCCAGGAGGAATTTAACTTGCATTAGTATATCCACTTTGAGATTTCCTCAGGAATTGGGTTCTTCAGATTAATACTTTGCATGTTATAGAGAATGTTTACATTGTTCCTTATACCGATTTTGGGGGCATCTAGACAGAAAACAGGTCATTAGCGACCATGATGTACCTTTTTTATTTTAAATGCAGAGCTGCCACCAAGAGGTTTGATCATGAGAGTATTATTTCTTCCTTAAACCCATTTCTTCCGACTTTAAAAGTCTCTCTCAAAGTTCTTATTTGGATTACAATGTAATATAGAGTAGTTTATTATGTCTGCAGTGTAGAATAGAATCAATGTGATATTTTCTCCTGTTAAACTGAGATATTGCTATTCCTAACTTCTACTTTTTTTTATTTCACTCATGTGAAGGTGTAACTATACTATAAATTTATAAATTCAAATAACAGAATAGCATATAATTCTTGAGAACACAGATGGTTCCTTTAGTGATAACATATGGTGAAATAGCTATAATATTAGCCATTAGTTAATTGTAAAATACAATATATGTATTTGTGAGGTGTAATCTTAAATGTAAGATTTGTTTTGTTCCCAGAACAAAAGCAGTAACCATTTTAACTGGGAGTTACAGTGTGAACTAACCAGGCTGACCAGATGATTTATGTTTTCCGCCCCAAAATGCAATAGAAATAAAAATGTGCATTAAGTGGCTAGGGACTCATACAGACACAAACATACATACCCCATAAATCCCCAGTTAGGGTTGAATATGCCTGTGTATAAATGGATACTGAATAGTTGGCTTATAAAATGCTTGCTCATTTTTCCAACTAGATGGAACTGTTTAACATTATAAAATAGTTTTATAATTCTGTTTAAAGCCTTTACAAAATTTTAAAATTTCCCCTCATTTAATATAGGGCATTATCTTTTAGTAACAACTGTCTTGGTTATCTGTTGGATTATAAATATGAAGCTTTTCCCCAGGAGTTTCACGATGGGATCATAATATTTGGGTTGGATTGGGTTGGTGTGGAACAAAGT